AATAATAATAATACTTGGGTAATTAGATCAAACTTATCATAATTTCTTCTTCTTTCTCTAGAAATTAGGGAGTATGAATTAATAGAATGAGTTATCAATAAGAAAATTAATTAAGAATGATAAGTATAATATTTAAAAATAATAATAAAAAATAAAACAAACGGGTCAACCCGTCAACCCACGAGTTGACCCTAACTCGACCTGTGACCCGTACGGGTTGATAATACGGGTTATCTACAGGTTGCGGGTTGAGATATATAGACCCTAACCCGTTTTTTAAGGGTCAGGTTAGGGTCGGGTTGACGGGTCGAGTGAATTTTTGCCAGGTCTAGTCCAGATCGATTTTGGGGTGAAGCTGCTCTTATAGATATATATCTCATTAATTGGATTCCATCATCAATCATCAATAATAAGTCTCCATACGAATGTTTGCATGGTATTCCTCTTACCTATAATCTTCTTAAGGTTTTTAGTTATGCTTTTTTTGTTCTTCTTCCACCTCATGAACATAACATGCTAAAGCCTAAAGCTCAATTATGTTGTTTTTTGGGTTATGGGATTACATATAAAGGATATCGTTGTTGGGATCTGGTGTCATAAAAACTTTAAGTCTTATGCCATATTGTCTTTTAGGAACATATTATGTTTTCCTCGTTATCAAACTTCTAGGTGTCATCTTTTGATCAACCTCTACTTTTACTAGCCCTTTTATTAAGCTATTTCCTAGTGATTCTTATGCAAATACACTTGATGAGCTCTATGATACCTCCCCACATGCTCTACCTAGTTCTACAGAAGGTGCTCTGCCTGCTAGTAATGCATTAGACAATGCTGAGTCTTCTTCCCTTACTTCTTCTGTATCACCTGTTGGATTTGACCCTATTGATATTGATCCTAAAAATGAGATCTTTAATCCACCTTCAAGTCATCATATTTGGGTAAGAAATCCTCCTAGCTATCTTCGTGATTGTCATTGTTTTCCTACTATTGCCTCCTTAAATGAGCCTTGATCTTATCAAGAGGCCTCTTTTAACCCTTTTTGGCAACAAGCCTCTTCTAATCCTCTTTGGCAACAAGCTCTTGAGAAAACTTTTATATGGGATTTAGTTGATCTTCTTGCTGGAAAGCTTCTAATAGGTTGTAAATGGCTGTACAAGATCAAAACTCGGTTTGATGGTTTTATGGAGCATTATAAGGCTCATTTGGTTGTTAAAGGATTTATTTAGGAATATGGGATTGATTATGAGAAAACCTTTACACTTGTTGCTCATCCTACTTTAGTTCATAGTTTGATTGTTATTTCTACTACAAAAAGATGGAAATTGTTTCAGATGGAAATTGTTTTCAGATGGATGTGAAAAATGCCTTTCTAAATGATGATTTTACAGAGGAAGTTTACATGAAACTACCTCTTGAACTTAAGCATCCTCTAACCAAAGTTTGTCGATTGAAGCAAGCTCTGTATGGTTTGAAGTAAGCACCTCGAGCTTGGTTTGCCAAGTTTAGTACCACCACCAGTGAATTTGGTTTACTTCTAGTCCTTATGATACTGCATTGTTTATATGTAAGACTAATCATGGTATGGTTCTACTGCTTCTATATGTTGATGATATGATCATTACTAGGAATGATATTTCAAGTATTTCATAATCTTAAGCAATTTCTTAGTCATAAGTTTGAGATGAAAGATCTTGGTGTTCTAAGTTATTTCTTGGGACTTGAGTTCACCTCTTCTAATGATGGTTATCTTCTCTCCTAAACAAAATATACTTTTGATCTTATATCTAAAGCTAGATTCATTGACAGTAAGATTGCATTTACTCCTTTTGAGCCAAATGTTCAACTTACACCCATGGATGGTTCTCCATTTTCTGATCCTACTCGCTATAGATAGTTGGTTGAAAGTTTAATTTATCTCACTATAACATGACCATATATAACTTATGCAGTTCATGTTATTAGCTAGTTTTTGGCTACGTCTCACTCCATTCACTATACAGCAAGACTTCGCATTATTTGCTATATTAAAGGTACCATTTTTCATGGACTTCACTTTTCTGCTTCTTCATCTCTTAAACTTCATGCTTACTCTAACACTAATTGGGCTAGAGACTCTAATGATTGTAGATCCACCACTAGATATTGTCTTTTTCTTGGTGATTCCTTAATCTCTTGACGTAGCAAGAAGCAGATAATTCCATCTTATTCTAGCACAAAGGCCAAATATCGAGCACTTGGAGACACCACATTAGAGTTACTAAATTTACTTTGGCTTCTAGAAGATACAGGTGTTCCTCAACCACCTATTATTGATCTTTATTGTGATAATCAGGGTGTCATGTATATTGCTCATAATGATATCTTCCATGAACGCATTAAACACATTAAAATTGATTGTCACTTTGTTCGCCATCATGTTACACAAGGAATTGTTCATTTGGTTTTCATTGGTTCCATTGATCAACTAACAAATCTTTTCAGTAAGGCTCATTTTCCTAGACACTTTCATACTCTTCTTTTCAAACTTAAGTTGGTTTCATCACAACCATCTTGAGTTTGAGGGATGAAACCAACTTGAGTTTGATGGAGATGTTAAGATGTAAATACAATAATTAATAATTAACTATTTATATTATATTCACACTATTTATATGTATTGTAAATATTATATACTTTAGAATATTCTTTCAAATATTTCTCCTTATCTTTTGTTTCTTGCAAACTCAACCGCAGCCTCCTTTCTTTTTCATTTTTCTTTTTTAAAGCCATCGAGGACACAGCAGCCTCCTCACCTTTTTTTCAAAAATAAAAATCTAAAAATAAAAACATTCTCTCTGTCTTAATTTTTGCTCAGTTCATATCAATAAGCCACCCCCTCTATTTTTCCATGTTGTTTTTATGTTTTTTTTTTAATTATAAATTATATAATATGAGGTAATTGTCTCTTGTTTTTTAAATAGACTCGAACTTAAAAATATTTTATTTATTTCCATTAAAATAAAATTATTAGTAAATTATTTAATTTGTTGGTTAAATTTTTTATGTTAAAGTTAAAATTTTTATACTTTTTTATGAATTTTTACATATATATGGTTGGATTTTTATTTTTGTTGTTAAAATCATTATTTTACATTGCAGAAAAATGATTATTCTGGCTTGCTTTGATTAATAAAAGAATATCTTTATATTTTTATGTTTATAGGGGTAAGGGGAACGGAGAGCATGGGTCGAAATCTAAACCTTCAGCGGTGTTCACACCTTTTGGGCCAGGGCGCTGCCACTCAAGCCTTCACTCGGAGGACTAGTCTTCGGTACTATTAGCTGTTATGCCGATTACTTATTCTAGAAGGAGGCCCGTTACCGCTTCTGTAGATATGAGCATCTTGTTGCCAAGCGGCCAAGCCCAAGTCTTTACCAAAGTTTTTTTTTTTTTTCAAATTTAATTTTTTTTATCATATTCACATTTTAATTAGTTTTTTATTTTAATTTTAAGCATATAAATATCCAATTATAACAGAAACCTTAATTTCATTTTTCCTCTCCAAAATCTAAACCATCCCATGTGCTCTCATCTATGATACGCTTCTCTTAGGGCCCGTTTAGTTTGATGAAAATTGGAAAGGTGGGCAAAGGACTTTGATGGCGAAACTAGGACTTTGGCAAGGCCCATATCCAAGTTTTGTAAAAGGTAAAGGCCCTTTGCTTCTTGCAAGATTTACTTATAAACATTTTCGCGGTTAAAAATCTTCCTTTTCCCCCAAAAAATTTTTAAACTTCATAACTTATTTGTTTTAAAAAGAGGAGAGAAAAAATTGTTATAATTAATTAAATTATTTCATTAC